GAGGCTGGGTGGCTGCAAATAAAGAGCTGCTATTCACAGATCAAGCATCTTTTCTATGGAGAGAAAGAACTGGAGCGTTGCTCTGTGGTCCAAAGTCCTTTTTCATCCAAGTATCGTTTGCATTTCATATGGAAATCATTGTCCCGGAGCCTCGAGGAAGAGTGGAGAGACAGAAATCCATGCTGTTTGAAGTCCAGCGTGTTGGTGTTGCTCCACTGTACAAGGGCGGTCCTAGACAGGGGTCATCGGGGAGCCAGGGCCCCTGTAAAACTGGTCCTGGCCCCAGTAAAGGCCCTGTAGTAAAGACATAATACTAAATCAATTGATGATAAATAAATGATATGTGCTTCCACAGAAACCCTGAATGATAGGTCCCTCAGTAAAACTTTATTTCATAACATCGAAACTTGTGTTGAGGGACTTTTAGCTAAAGTCATATTGAGATCTGATTATGGTTTTGATATGCTATATTTGAGGTTTTCATTCAATATTTCAAACCGCCTTGTTGTTACAAGGAATTTGACTTGGTGTTGATGGTGCAGACAAAATAGATTTATATATACAGAATACAGACTCTGTAGCTATATGCAATACATAGTACATAGCTACAGTGTGGCAAAAAAGTATTTAGTCAGCCACCAATAGTGCAAGTTCTCCCACTTAAAAAGATGAGAGAGGCCGGTAATTTTCATCATAGATATACCTCAACTATGAGAGACAAAATGAGAAAAAAAATCCAGAAAATCACATTGTCTGATTTTTAAAGAATTTATTTGCAAAATACAGTGGAAAATAAGTATTTGGTCAATAACAAAAGTTCATCTCAATACTTTGTTATATACCCTTTGTTGGCAATGACAGAGATCAAACGTTTTCTGTAAGTCTTCACAAGGTTTTCACACACTGTTGCTGGTATTTTGGCCCATTCCTCCATGCAGATCTCCTCTAGAGCAGTGATGTTCTGGGGCTGTCGCTGGGCAACACGGACTTTCAACTCCCTCCGAAGATTTTCTTTGGGGTTGAGATCTGGAGACTGGCTAGGCCACTCCAGGACCTTGAAATGCTTCTTACGAAGCCACTCCTTCGTTACCCGGGCGGTGTGTTTGGGATCATTGTCATGCTGAAAGACCCAGCCACGTTTCATCTTCAATGCCCTTGCTGATGGAAGGAGGTTTTCACTCAAAATTTGACGATACATGGCCCCATTCATTCTTTCCTTCACACTGATCAGTCGTCCTGGTCCCTTAGCAGAAAAACAGCCCCAAAGCATGATGTTTCCACCCCCATGCTTCACTGTAGGTATGGTGTTCTTTGGATGCAACTCAGCATTCTTTCTCCTCCAAACACAACGAGTAGAGTTTTTATCAAAAAGTTCTATTTTGGTTTCATCTGACCATATGATATTCTCCCAGTCATTGCTGGATCATCCAAATGCTCTCTAGCAAACTTGAGACGGGCCTTGACACGTACTGGCTTAAGCAGGGGGATCGAAGAAGATTATCAGTGGTCTTGTATGTTTTCCATTTTCTAATAATTGTTCCCACAGTTGATTTCTTCACACCAAGCTGTTTACCCTTTGCAGATTCAGACTTCTCAGCCTGGTGCAGGTCTATAATTTTGTTTCGGGTGTCCTTTGACAGCTCTCTAGTTTTGGCCATGGTGGAGTTTAGAGTGTGACTGTTTGAGGTTGTGGACAGGTGTCTTTTATACTGATAACGGGTTCAAACAGGTGCCATTAATGAAGGTAACGAGTGGAGGACAGAGGAGCCTCTTACAGAAGAAGTTACAGGTCTGTGAGAGCCAGAAATCTTGCTTGTTTGTAACTGACCAAATACTTATTTTCCACCATATTTTGCAAATAAATTCTTTAAAAATCAGACAATGTGATTTTCTGGATTTTTTTTTCTCATTTTGTCTCTCATAGTTGAGGTATATCTATGATGAAAATTACCGGCCTCTCTCATCTTTTTGAGTGGGAGAACTTGCACTATTGGTGGCTGACTAAATAATTTTTTGCCCCACTGTATATACTATATACACAGTAGACTGTCCGTTAATGTAAAGCAGAAGTTATGGATATGCTATGTTAAGTGTCAATGGCTGGTTATACTTCCGCAGCAGTGTGTTGCAGATATTTTTGATTTATGCCAAATTTTGAAGCATGGTCTGAGCTATGTTATTCCAAACCACAAATAAAGAGGGACAATGAGGAACTAGCTGTGGGTCTAGATACAGCTGAGGCGGCGAGGAAGTGGAAAAACGCAAGGGCCAAGTTTGTGCAACAATAGAGGGACATGAGGGTGAAAAAGAGCGGTACTAGCGTTTTCGCGGCTCCTCGCTCTTCTAGCTGGTCCAACTTCACGAGTCGTTTTCCACAACGGCAGTCATACAAACAAAACAAGCCGGTAAAGTAAGAAACAGGAAGTACGCATAGTGTAGAGAGGATGTAGATTAGACCAATCAGAGGCCTCCTGTTTGCGGTACTGTCTGTGTCACCTACAATTTTGGAGAGGTGCATTTGGACAGGCTCATGGCAGATATGAAGAAAACGTTCTTGAGACGTGAGGTTTTGGTCCTGATGGACCGCAGCCTCCTGCCAGAGGGAAGCATCTGAAATAGTTTGTGGCTGGGGTGCAAGGGATCAGCAACAATCTTCCCTGCATGCCTCAGAGTCCTGGAGGCGTACAGATCCTAGAGACTGCAGCCAATCACCTTCTCTGCAGACAAAAACAACCCCAACCTGGCCCCCCCCCCAAAAAAAAATGTAGGGCATAGAAATGAATACAATTTTAACTACCCTTTTTTTTTTAATTAATCTTATAAATTATTCAATTTTTTTGAAAAAATATCGATTTCAGAATCTCATTTGCTTTATGTCTCTTTTTATTTAATAAAATGAGAGAAGTAATTAATATGCTGGTGAAGGTTCTCAGTCATCCAGGTCATAGTCATTCCGAAAAATGAAAATTAAAAACAATCCACTGGACTTTGTTTCCTAGTTTGAAGACGTTTCGCTTCCCATCCAGGAAGCTTTTTCAATTCAAAATGTCAGAAATAGCATTGAGTTCAAGGCCTTATACAGTAGCCCAGAAAAGCCTTGTTTTTGTTTTGGTAACAGTGAGGAATGCTTTGGTCTTTATATTGGAGAAACCAAACAACCTCTCCACAGAAGCATGGCCCAAAACAGAAGAGCGGTCTCCTCTGGAAAAGACTGCTGTACATCTACACCTTATGGACAAAGGAAATTCTTTTGAGGACCAGAATGTTCACATTTTGGATAAAGAAAACAGGTGGTTTGAGAGGAGCGTGAAGGAAACCAATGCAGCAATTGAGTTAATGCATTCCCGCTATCATTGCAGCTCCCTGTAGCGGAGGACCTCGCCTATGCAGCAGGCCAACAATCCCCTGTGAAAATCGGAAAATTTTGAAACATCCCAACCTGGCAACAATGCACGTAAGACGGGAAACGTAAGCCTTCAGATGCAAAACCCCATCATGCACCCACTGACATAACAACACAACAATAGGCCTGTAAGCAACATTATCTGGGTGGGCCCCATATGTGTACAACACACCAATATACACTGCATGCATCATTTAATTAGTTAACATCAAATTACTTCTTGAGCTCCTTGAGTTATTTACTGTTACAGCTTCCTGAATTTAGGATTACCAGTCCGAGCCTGGTATGGAGCATTGCAGGCTAAGAAAAGAAGCCAAATGACCCCCATTCCAAAGAAATGGACCCTTTCGTCTGTTCCAATTTGCCTGTTTTTAATAACAAAAACAAGGTTTTGATGGGCTACTGTATGAAACCTCAAACTCAACGCTATTCCTGACATTTTGAATTTAAAAAGCTTCCTGGATGGGAAGGGAAACGTCTTCAAACTTGGAAACAAAGTCCATTGTTTTTCATTTTCTTTTTTTGCAATTAATTAATCAAACTTTTGCTTGGTGTCCATTTCTTTGAAAATAGTAAATGCTAAAGATCAATAGTTTTAAGCAGGCCCGTTACCAACATTTAGAACACCGAGGTCATGTCCTCGGTATTTTCCTGTTTTTATTATTATTAGTATTTCTTTTTTTCATTATTCAGAGAAATGTCAAACTATATGATTTGTTTAAAAAAAAAAAAAAAAAAAAAATCCACAAACGTGATATATTATTGCAAGTCATTTGATTCATTTAGTGGGCCAAGCACATGCATGATGATGATGGTGACAATAATAATAATAGTAGTAATAATAATTAAATATTAATAATAACAACAACAATAATAATATGGTATAATGCTGATAATAATAATAATAATAATGATAACACTCACTCACATTCATTCTCACACTCACATAAGTGTGAGTGTGAGAATGAAGATGTTAATTTTCAGCTGCTCCATGTCTTTCTGCATGGAGTTTGCATGATCTCCCTGAGCATGTGTTGGATCTCTCCGGGTACTCCGACTTCCTCCCACAGTGCAAAAACATGACGGATAGGTTAATCAGTCATGTTTTTGTCAGTGTGTATGTGAATGGTTGTTTGTCTCTGTGTTGCCCTGTGATGGACTGGCGACCTGTCCAGGGTGTACCCTGCCTCTCGCCCGTTGACAGCTGGAGATAGGCACCAGCACCTCTTGCGACCCCACTTGGGATTAAGCGTGTTGAAAAATGGATGGATGGATGATGGGCTTGTGATTCTCTCTTTATTCACGTTTCCAAAATATATTTTAAAAAGTCACCAGGATGTTTTGTTTTTGTTGTTTTTTTTTTTGTTTTTTTTGTCAAGTAAGATTTATCATAATATTTGACCTCAGTACTTGAAAAATCCCGGTGTTAAGCATTTTTCTTAATGGTGTTGATGTTTAATTGTTGCAAAGCAGAAGGCAGTCCTGTTTATGACTGATGAGCTGCTGGTAGCGCTCAGAAACAGAGAGGGGAGGGGGGAGGGGGAGGACCTGACAGTTGCAGCGGCTGTGAGGAGCGTTGGATTGTGGGTATCTTGAGTTTCCTCTTCATAGTTTCCAACAGTCAGCTGTTGGAGAGAAGTTTTTTTTTTTTTTTTCTACTGATTTTAGGATCTTTTTCATAGAAGTTTTATTTTTTGTTTCCGTTTGGAGTCAAAGTTCCTCCGCGGACGCGGAACCTGCTGCAGAGCGCCGTCCTGGGAATATTTGTGTCTCCTAAAGAAAAGTTTTCGGTCTGTCCTGGAACAGCTGTCAGAATGAGCCTGAACGAGCACTCCATGCAGGCGCTCTCCTGGAGAAAGTTGTACTTGAGCCGAGCTAAGCTGAAAGCCACCAGCCGCACCTCGGCTCTCCTGTCCGGTTTCGCAATGGTGAGTAAAAGTGGGTCCAACTTCTCTCTGATCGGACACGCAACTCCACGCGGACAGCCGCAGTTCGTGTGTGACGCAGATTATTGTTTTCAAATGTGCCCACCCGACGAGCGCAAAAGTATTCACACCCTTTCCACAGCTTCTCTGGGTGAAATCTCGATATGTTAATGTGGTAAAGCAGTGGATAAGAAATTGTGTTTCATTTTTAGTAAACGTTTAGTTATTCAGCTTCCTTTAATCTGATACCTCTAACAGGGGTGGGGGGGGGTTACCATTAGGCAATCCGAGGTAGTTGCCTAGGGCCCCAAGTTCCTGGGGGCCCCATAAATATATATTTTTAATATATATTTGTGCAAATTAATTATGTTTTTGATGAAACTATAATATTAAGTGTGTCTCTGCCCCTCTTCAGTGCCCACCAAATTGGATCTGTCCATTCGCTGCAAATATTCAGAAAGGTCCAAACAGACAGCAGCAAACCAGTTGAAAACAAACAATGCGAAAAGCAGTGTTGCCAACTTAGTGCTTTTGTTGCTATATTTAGCAACTTTTCAGACCCCTCTAGTGCTTTTATTCCAGAAAAGCTCCTAGTGCCAAATCTAGTGACTTTTTTCTGTTAGTGGAGACTTTGGCGACAACATATAAAAGCAGCGAACTCTGCTTTCCAGAGCAAGTAGATTGGTAACCCCGCCTCCTGCTCTCCTCTATCTTGTCTGCTGTCATGATTCTATACTATTATTTCATCCAAATGAAAAATGGAGAACAGATAAGCAGATCATTGCTTGTCTACAGTGCCTCTTTGGAAACACAGGAAGGAGCAATGGGCTACGTGAGCTTAGTGATTGGAAAAAAATCTTCCATTCCCTTTGAGACCGCATGAAAAGTGAGCTCAGTACAAAACATAGAGAGGAAAACAACAAGAAAAGGGACAAGAAGAGAGGGGCGAAACCTGCAGAATGGACGTCTATTCTATTAACATCTCTGTATCTCTATAATGGGTCAATTCAGCGGGCCCCATGCCTGTTTTTGCCTAGGGCCCCAAATTTCCTAAACCCGCCCCTGACCCCTAAATAAAACAAGGGAAACCAGCTGCTCGTCTTTAATCAGTTAAGGCTCCACCTGTGTGTAATTTAATCTCTGTATGATCTGTATGAATGAATGTTTTCCTGATTATCCCTCCCAGGTTGCCATGGTGGAGGTACAGCTGGAGCAGGAGGATACGTATAAGTATCCCCCAGGGCTGCTGGTCGCCTTCAGCGCCTGCACCACCGTTCTGGTCGCCGTCCATTTGTTTGCCCTCATGATCAGCACCTGCATCCTCCCCAATCTGGAGGCTGTCAGCAACGTTCACAACCTCAACTCAGTCAACGAGTCTCCCCATGAGCGCATGCACCGCCACATAGAACTGGCCTGGGCCTTCTCCACAGTCATCGGCACCCTGCTCTTCCTGACCGAGGTCATGCTCCTGTGCTGGGTGAAGTTCCTGCCGCTCGATAGCAACAAAGGGGAAAAAAATGGCACCATCAGCTCCGGCAAGGCGGCAGCCATCGCGTCCACCTGCATAATGGTGCCGTTCGGAATTGTCTTCATCATCTTTGCTGTCCACTTCTACCGCACACTTGTTAGCCACAAAACAGACCGGCAGATCCGAGAGCTGGACCAAGTCATTCAGCTCCAGAAACTGCTGAATCACAGGGCTGAGAACGACGAGCTGAAGACTGCCGAAGATTTTGCCTAACTGTTACCCACTCATCTAGAGTTCCCTTTTAAAGGCTTCATTTCTGTGTTGGTAGAATGTGTCAGAAGTGTTTGAATGTAGGAGCACCACCCGAGGAACGCTGCATGTCACGGCTCCGGCTTTCGCTATTTATTTGCATGTTTACAAAACTTGCTTTACTTTTATATGGCAGGGAATTGATATCAGTCGGCAACATCCTTGACCTTTGAGTTCAGACCTCAAAAGCACTGCTGTATTCGGGTGAATAATCCACTTTATTGCTTTAATATAAAGACCTCTGCTTTATTATTATTATTCTAGCAGCCATTTTGTTTATTTATAAGTGACTGTATCTTCTACTGTGAGTGTCTAATAGTTGATGAGGGAAAGCTCAATGTCGGATTTTAATGTGAACATGTGCTCTTTTGAATAGATTCAAAAATGCCAGATGTTCTTAGATGAAGACAGTGATAAGGCATATCAGTATCTACACAAATTCAGTACCTCAGGCTGTACTAGGCCTCCAGTACATTTTTTATACCTTTGTTAAAGCACCCAGTGCTGTTTACTTCTTAGATAGCAGCAGCATACTGTATGCCGATATTGTAGCATTCAGTTGTAGCTTGGGCTGGATGATATGGCTTAAAGGGGTCATAGAACGTAAAACCGAGTTAACATTGTCATAGATGAATAACGATAGTAAAGTGGGTGAAATGAACGAAGTTCAAACCCCATTGACACCTACTTTCTGTGCAAATCTCACAATCCTAAACTTCCACCATAAAACGGGCGAATCCAAACGAAGCTCCGAGTTGACGTAAACTCGGTGATGTTGCCTTATTTGGTTCTGGCCTGTACTTTTGTCACGCCCAGAAATTGACATACAGATCAGCCCACAAGGCCGCCTGTGTCCAGGCTACCGTCACCGGGTCGGGTTTGGTCACTCTGTCCCCTTCTGGCTCCCTGCCCCCATCCCAAAATCCCAGGCGATTTTGAAATTCCCCCAAAACATTTATTTAGGTATGAAAAGTAGGAGGACATGTCCAGGAAAAGCAGGACGTCTGGTCACCCTACCATATCAACAATCTTGATATTTCAGTGAGTGAGTGCTTGCTGCTATGATGCGTCTTTGCTCAGCAGCTTCGCTCGTTGTAAACCAACCAATCAGCGCACAGCTCATCTAAATATTCATGATCATACCATAACAGTAAGAAAACCTGTTTCATTCTAGGGCTTTTAACCAGGCTTGCATTAGGGCTCATAGAACAGCAAATATGCCATTTTCAGCCCAACCAAATGTTACACACCATATTCAGAGACCTTAAGGACCAGCACCAAATACCCTATAGAATCATTCTATGACCCCTTTAAAAATATAGTCTCCTTTTTTTTCTTACAAAATCAAATTAATCTTTTTTTTCCCCCTTAAGTTAATAAAAAATGCCAAACCTTATTTCCAAAGCTAGAATCTATTTCAATCTTCCCCAAAAATAATAACAGTAAGCTAGTTCATCAGTTATGTGAACTAATTTAAAAACAAATATGGATGAACTGATTCCCAGCTGAGCTATGGGAGCGCAAGAAGTGCATTGATGAAAAAATTGCATCTTCATAAACAGAGCACAACCCTACTTGTACATTTTTCACAGTTAATCACATGATTTAAAAAAAGAAATCAAGATTGGGGTATAAAGCAGTTAACCTTCAATTTCTCAGTTTCATACTGTTGCTTTTTTCTTTTCTTTAACCAAATCTACTGTAAAACCAAGGACTTAGTTTTGAACAACTTTTTCATGGCATAAAAGTATTGAAAGTGTTATTTGCCAGTTTGTCTGTTTTGTACATAGTGTGGGGTAGTTTACAAGCTTGAGCATGGTTACACCTTTGTTTTCCCTTTTTTAAATGTTGCAGGTAGTTGTTGTTTCCAGAATGTAGCTCTTGCTCTTTTGTCCTGCTGTCACGCTGTAACAAAGCTGCATGAGATACTGTTGTTACAAAGTATATTGTTGCACTTTGAATTTTAAAGGTGACACCACTGTTGATATATATTGTTACACTTTTTCTGTTGATATCAAGATTGTGCTGTTATTGCATTGTTATATTATCAGTTTGGATGTTTGCTTACAGTTTCCCCCAAATCTGTCCTGCTTATAATTGTGAGCATTTAAATGTTCTTGATCAGATCTAATTTAAAAGAAAAATCTTTTTAGTCAACATCAACTGGCAGGAAAAGAACTGTGATTCACCATGTGTCTATTTTTAAGGTTATTTCTGAACATAAAAACAACACATAAGTCATGATCAAATCATAATGCATTTTTCCATAACACTCTTTAGAAAAAAAAAAGAAGCAAAGTTTAGAATCAGTTTTTTTTTGTGGTTCTTTCTTGTCCTCATTTAAGGAATCAACTGTATACTTTAAGCACAGCTTAAAGGTATGTCCATTAAATCAAACATTTCCAGCTTTGTTTCTGTTTTTCTAGCATCCTTTGAAACAAAAATGTCTGCTTACAATCTGTTTTAAAATTGCACGACATTCTCAAATGCATTTCAGCAAAATGAAACACTGCAGAGAGTAGCTTGTGCTAAAATTGGGTCAAGATGTGATAAACCACACAGGAAATGTGTGGACATGGTGGTTAAAGTAAGTTTTTGCTCTGCCATGAGCATGCATTACAAAAACTCTCTAAGTCACTGCTGATGAAAGCAGAAATTCTTGATTTAACTGTTTGTTAAAGGTTTATTTTTGTTTGCCAGAAATGCATTTATTTTGGTTTAGTGGACAGAGTTGCTTGATCCTGATGCCTTTCGTTTTTGCAGCAGTAGTTATGAAAAGCTCACTACACCCATGCTGTTGGCACACAAGTTATTTCTTCAAATGATTACAAAGTAAATGAGATTGTGCTGGAACATTGAAAGAAACATAGTCATAAAATGTAGAGGAGTAGCCACCCATGGGTTAATAAAACCATCCAATTTATGATGAACCTATTCCTGGGTCAGATTTGGACAGGTCCAGCTTTGGGTTCATTTAACACAACAAAGAGAGTTATAAATTTCACGCAGCAAACTGGTTTAGGTTAAAAAAAAGACTCATTTGTCAGTCAAGAAATCTTAATTACAAAAGAAGCAAGATTTTTGCTTAATTAATTGAACTCAAACCCAGTTGAAAAGGTTTACCTGGAGTTCTGTAAGAATATGTCCAGAGTTCACAGAAACTGTCCCAACACCTATTGCAGAACTGGGGCAATTTCCATTCCTGATCCAAATAAAAAAGAGAACTTTTAGATTTACCGCAATTCAGCAAGTAGGATCTGTCTTTCAAAATAATATAATGATTATATCCAAATCCCAATAAGAAAACAACCAAAATAATGACAATTATTATCATCAGTGGAAACTGGAAACCAAATCACTAAATCAACTAAATATAACTTTAATTGGCAGATTAGTAACAGTCTTTAAATGTCCCTTTAAAAGGCAGATACTCTTAGTACCGAAGAAGTTGTGATATCTATGGATGCTGAAAAGGCCTTTGACAGAGTTGAGTGGCCATATTTATTCTACTCGATTGAGAAATTTGGTTTCGGAAGAAAGTTTCTGTCTTGGATTAAATTACTTTATTCTGACCCTCATGCATCAATTAGGACAAATAATAGTCAGTCTGACTACTTTCGCCTCAATCGCTCTACGCGCCAGGGCTGCCCGCTGAGTCCCTTACTATTTGCTTTGGCAATTGAACCCCTTGCAATTGCGCTTAGATGTAATGCAAGTATCATAGGTATTAAGAGGAATGGTATTGGAACAAAGGTCTCTTTATATGCTGATGATCTCCTCCTGTATATTTCAAATTTGAGTACATCTATTCCTGCTATACTTGCCACACTTGTCAAATTTGGGCTATAAATTAAATCTCAGCAAAAGCGAATTATTCCCAATTAATGTTTTGGCTAAGAACTACCCACTGCGTACATTACCTTTTAAGGTAATAGATCAGAGTTTTACCTATTTAGGAATCCAGATTACATCTAAATATAAGGATCTCTTTAAAGCTAACTTTTCCCCCTTATTATTGCGTGTTAAGGAAGATTTTGATCGTTGGTCAATGCTTGGCCTCTCTTTGGTTGCTCGGGTTAATTCAATCAAAATGAACATCCTCCCATATTTTTCCTACCTATTTCAGTGCATACCTATTTTTCTTTCACGGTCCTTTTTCAATAAGCTCAATAGTATAATTATTAAATTTCTTTGGAATGGGAAGGCCTCTCGTATACGCACTGAACTCTTACAAAGACCTAAAAAGCTTTGGGGGATGGCCTTGCCAAACTTTAGATATTACTATTGGGCTTCAAACATGAGACTTTTTAGATACTGGCTCCGGTCAGATAGCCCTTCATCTCCTGCTTGGCTTAATATAGAGGCAAATTCTGTAAAACCTGTGTCCTTGGCAGCCTTACTACATTCACCATTGCAATCTTCAACTAATCCTTATACCTCTAATAAAATAGTTGACGCATCCTTAAGACTGTGGAGGCAATTTAGGCGGCATTTTGGTCTGCAATCTCTTTCTGTCTATGCCCCTATAGCCCTGAATCATACCTTCCCGCCGTCCCTCGCAGATGATACTTTCTTGTCATGGCGGAGAAAAGGAATTTCAACCTTTTACGATCTGTACATTGACAATACTTTCGCCTCATTCCAACAAATCTCCGAGAAATTTGATATCCCGCGATGTCAGTTTTTTAGATATTTACAAGCGCGCAGTTTTGTCCGTTCTACTTATTCAAATTTTCCGAACCTTCCCGGGGATTCTCCTTTAGACACTTTTCTGAAACCTATTGTCAAACTGAAGGGGGCCATTTCTCTTATTTACAATCAAATTACGCTTTTGCGTCCACACACCCTGAACTCCCTTAGATCACTTTGGGAGGAAGATCTTGGACGGGAAATTTCAGAGGATCTCTGGACACTTATCTTGTCATTCGTGCACAGGTCCTCTATTTGTGCCAGACATAATCTAATTCAGTGCAAACTTGTGTATCGCACTTATTATACTAAAGCACGTCTAGCCAAGTTCTACCCCAGCGTTACTCCAGCCTGTGATAGATGCCAACATTCCCCAGCCAATTTGATCCACACCATCTGGCTCTGTCCTCAGCTTTCTAATTATTGGTCTAAAGTTTTTGTTGTTCTATCGTACGTTTTTGGCTTAAAATTTGAGCTTTGTCCCCTGATTGCGTTGTTTGGGGTTGCACCTCCACAGCCCATCTTGTCCTCTCTTCAGAGGTCCTCCTTGGCTTTCCTGACCTTTCTGGCTCAGAGAGTGATTATAATGAAATGGAAGTTGCCTGAACCCCCATCATACATCCACTGGCTTCGAGACACATTGTATTTTATTAAACTTGAGAAGATCCGTTTTACCTTAAGAGGCTCCTCAGCAAGATTTTTGGGTTTGTGGAGTCCCTTGTTAAAAGCCCTTAGGAAGATTGATTTCCCTAATATTCCAGACTGATAAAGTTGCATGTATGTAGCTGATGTTTATTATTCTTATCTATTTTTTCTTTTGTCTTCTTCTTTGAGTTAAGTCTGTCTGATTTATTAAGAGTAGGGTCCCCTGGCACCTGAGAAGTTTTTCTTTTCTTTTTTTTTCTTTTTTTAGTATGTACGGACTGAGGGAAAACATTTATATAATTTTAATACTGTGGACCTTTCTACTTCTACCTATTTATTTTATTTATTTTTATATATATATATATATCTGTCCCCGGTATCTCGTTGTGCTTGCCTTGACTTGATCATTTGCTTTTTTTTTTATCTATTTTTTTTTTTTTTTTTTTTTTTTTTTTTTTTT